CTCCGTAGCCTTGCCGCGTGCCCGCGATGGAGGACAGCGTGCTGGTTTTGGACAGGGTGTCTGAGGCCGGCCTCCTCGGCCACGATGGGGTTTTGGGGGCCACGGCGTCCTCCCTGCCAAGAGGGGAGAGCGTCACAGAGATCAGCCCTGGGAACCCTTCCATCCCTCCATCCCTCCCTCCACAGCGTACTCTCCCTGAGCAGTGAGGGTGTGCAGACATCCTGGAACCCAAACAGGGGGACAAAAGGGAAAGGGGAAAACAGGTGGAAAATCCCCTTGTTAATTCTGAAACCTCATAACAACTGGCCAGAGGTGGAAACTTTCTTCCTGATTGTTGCCTCTGGAGAATATTGATGACTGGCCAGAGAAGAAGAACTCTTCCCCACTATTAACTTTGAGCCTGAGAAATGATGGGCCACAGGTGGAAACACTCTCCTCGTCTGTTAACCCTGAAACCTATTGATGATTTGAGCCCCCTCCACAAGAAGAGTGCCTCACTTGATCTCATTGGCTCCCTCCTCCTGGCTGTCACGTTTTTTCCTCCTGTAGCCAACAAACTTCTGGGCAAAGAAGATGATGGTGGCAAGGGCACCCAGGGAGCCCAGCACGGCGCCGGCGATGACTGCTTTGGTGCTCGCTGCCAGAGAGAGACAGAGATTCCCTCATTGCCTTATTCCCACAGGGACTCATGGGGACTGTGTCCCCCTCCCCGACCCTGTGGACACGTACTCACTTGATTGTACCTCCAGGACAATGCTGCAGTTCTCAGAACCTGCTTGGTTTTCAGCCCTGCAGACGTAGACCCCCGACATTTCCAGGGAGAGGTTGGTCAGCTTGAGGGTGCCCTTGGCCCGGTCTGCAGGTGAGAAATTTGGGTGCTGCCTCACCCAAAGCCACTCCTACACCCTCCACCTCCTCATGCAGGGAGTGCTCAAGGAGATGAAATCTGAATCTTCTCAGGATATTCCAGCCCCCTCCCCAGCCCCACTCTGGTGCCACCTTACCCTGGGCAGGGGGAAAGAAGACCTGCAGGGTGGGCGGCTCGCGCTGCCACTGGTACATGGGCGAGGGCTTCCCCTTCCTGGAGGAGCAGCTCAAGGTGACGTTGGCCCCCACGACGGCGTTGCCGTGCAGCTGGCACGTGGGGGTGGCCGGTGGCACTGTGGGCACAGGTGTTAGTCCTGAGGGACACCACGGGGAGCGCCAAGGGAGCCGGGGGCACTGGGGGAGCCTTACCCAGCACGGTGAGGTTGATGAGGCCGACGTTCCTGATGGTGTCGTCCACCACGTTGACCGTGCACATGTACTGACCCGAGTCCTGCTCGCGGGTGGCGTTGATGAGCAGCGAGATGTTGCGGGTCTCGATGGGGTGCAGGAACCCCACGCGGGACTTCAGATCTGTCTCCTCCACCTTCACCACCCCGCTCATGACTGACAGGATCTGCATTGGGGAAATACCACATGCTTTTGCTTCCAGATTGTGCTGCTGGAGAGAAAAGCCCCTCAAAATCCCATAAGCCCCCTCCAGCCTTACCTCCACTGTAGGCAGCTCCCCACCACAGGCACAAATACCCCTGGCATGGGCACTGTGAGCAACTGTCCCATCATGAGCATCTCCCCTTCAGGAGCACCCCAAGTGGTGCCCCCATTGTGGACATTTCCCATTGAAGGCACCATGGGCATTTTCCAAGGACATCTCCCCACCAGGGGTATCTCCCACCTTCCTATTGCAGGCACCTTGGGCATGACCCCAGTGTGGGCATCTCCCCTCATGGGCACAATGAGCACCTCCCCACCATAGGCACCTCCTGATCATGAGGACCACAGCCATCTCCCCAGTGTAAGCATTTCCCACCATGGACACCACAAACACCTGCCTGTACAGGCATCTCCCCATCCTGGATGTCTCCCCATCTTGTGTCTCTCCCCGCTCTGGGCACCACAAGCACCTCCCTACTGCAGGCACTGTGGGCATGACCTCATTGTGGGCATCTACACATCACCATGAGCACCCCCATCAAGGGTACCCTCCATGGTGGGCACCATGAGATCCCCCCATGGTGGACACCACCCCATCACAAGCATTACAAGCAGCTCCCCGTGGGTATGGGGATGGCACCATGGGTATGTCCCCATGGTGGGCACCATGAGCATGTCCCCCATAGTGGTCACCTCTCCATGGTGGGTGCCATGAGCATGTCCCCCATAGTGGTCACCTCTCCATGGTGGGTGCCATGAACTTCACCCCATCGTGGGCCAACTCTCCACCATGGGCACCACAAGCATGGCCCCACTGTGGGAATCCCACACATCTCCCCATGGGCACGTCCCCACCATGAGCATCTCCCCTTTGTGGGCATCTCCCCATCATGGGCACCACGTCCTTACCATGGACACTTATCCACTGTGGGGGGGCCACCATGATGTCCCCCCCCTCATGGGCATTTACCCATTTGTGGGCATTTCCCTGCATGGGCACCATGAGCATCATCCCATCATGAGCATCAATGGTGGGCACCATGAGCTTCCTTCCATCATGGCCACCTCATTATCATGGGCATCCTTCCACCACGGGCACTGTGCCCACTGACCCATGGTGGGCACCATAATCTTCCCCCCATCATGGGCACCACCAGCAGCCCCTCCATGGTCACTGACCAGCTTGGTCCCCTCCATCTCCGGTCCTGCAGGCCCTGCCCTCTCCTCACCTGGAAGGGAGCAGGTTTCTTGTTCAGCATCCAGGTGATGTAGGGCTCTTGCTGGGAGCGGCTGCTGTACCAGACAGGCAGCACTGCCTGCTGCCCCTCCACAGAGAGCACCAGGCTCGTCCCCACGTGCACCTCCAGCACGGCCAAGGAGACACCTGCCCATGGGAGAGGGAAGAAATGGGGAAATGACTCAACCCCAGGGGCTACTTCTCCACAAAACCTCACTGTGAGAAAAACCCCCATTCCCAAGACAAAAACAACAATCCCAGGTTATCACCAGGAAGCTGAGCCAAGAGAACATTCTGCCTCCTTCCCTGCCACAGGAAGGGCTTTCCGCCTGCTCTGGAGGATGCGGGACATTGCTGCTCCCTCCCACCCCAGCTTCCGCCCCACGCTCAGCTCAGCAATTCCTAAGGCACAAGTCACCCTCCCCAGGATACAGCCCCCTCCAGCAGGCAGACACCCCCTTAGCTCAGTACTGGGCTACTCCCAGCCTCCCGTGATGCTGCACCAGATCCCATGGGATTTATTTGTAGGGCTCCCCCATGTGCGCCCCACAAGCCTTTCCCAGCATCCCATTTTTGCTGCCAGCACTAAACTGGGATAATCCATGAGTGGCTTCCTCTCATTTGACCCCAAATATCCCACCCCAATCCCTGTCACTGTGTCTCCTGCATCCCAGCATCCCCCAAGCCCTGCTGGAGGGGTTGATGGGGTAAGGGTGGTACCACAGACCAGAGAGGGATGCTCAGCTCCTGGGGGAAGATCACTCCCCAGCTTTGCCCTTAAGGCTCGGCCAGAAAATTAATCAGCCCAGGCCAGGGTGAGTTTGTGCTGGGGCTGGTTTGTTTTTCCCAGGGGAACATCAGCAGGGCCTGCATGCCAGCAGCTCCATCCCTGCATCCATCCAGCATCGATCGTGACCCCGGCTGGCCCTGCCCTGCCAGCGCCCCAGGGATGCCTCACATCGGGATGCAGGGGGAAAAATGATGCTGCCCCCTCATCCCAAACCCTCAGTTTGGGGGGAAAAGGAAGGATTTCGGGAGCTTTCAATAATCTCACACTTTTCCCTAAGAGCTCAGAGGTTTTAATTGGATTTTTCCAGGGTGGGAAGAGGGAAACAAGGAGCTGGGGGGTATTTTTAGCCTCCTCCCGCATCCGTTCATCCCCCTCCTGGCAAGGCATGGGTGCCATTTCCGGACGGAGCCTTCCAGCTCCAGGCAGGAAACTCTGCTCCGGCTGATAAGTCTTCTCAGGAATTAAAAAAAAAAAAATAATTACATTTCCTTTCTCTGGTGAAAAACTGGGAGAAATAAGGCCCAGTCTGGTGAGGATGCGTAAAAATAGCTCACCCAGGCTAAGAACATAAACCTTTAAATCCTGGAGGGTTTGGGGGGGGGGAGATGCTGGAGGCGCCTGCAGGTCCCAAATCATTGATAATATTATTTATTAATTATAGAAAGCTGTGGTATCAGATCCAATAGAGAGTATGGAAAAATAATGGTAATTATAGTGTATTTATATGTAATTATGCAGATAATTGTATGAAATTTAGAGAAAGAGGAAAGAAATATGGGATGGCGACTCATTAAATTGGAGTTTCCAGAACAAAATAGATCATTGAGAACATATAATTTATAACAGTTATAAATATAGGTATATTTTTGTAAGAATAGGGATAATAGCGGGGATGTGAAAGTGATAATAGTGCTCAGAATAATGAGAGTAATGATCAAAGTGAGAATAATAATTATAAAAGTGGGAATAACTATGATAAAAGTTATATTAATAATGATAATAATAATAGCGATTATAATAATTGTAACAATGATTCCAATACAATAACAACTACAGTCATAATAATGATAATATGAATAGAAATAGAAATAGAAATAGAAATAGAAATAGAAATAGAAATAGAAATAGAAATAATAATAATAATAATAATAATAATAATAATAATAATAATAATAATAATAATAATAATGTTCATTAATTATGCAGATGGCACAGCCCCTAAACCTCCCTGCATTCCCAACAACTGGGAAAATCAAGGTCTTTTCAGCCCAGATCTCCATCATTATAAAAGTGTGTTAAACTGGGATAATCTAGAAGAAAATAGATTATATTCAATTATTGTATTGTGATTTCTATTAGATATATTAGAGATAACAGGTAATAGACCTGGTTGAAGAATTATAATTGTAATTTAATAAAAACAATTCTAACAGTTATAATAGTTACAAAAACAGTTATAACAGTGATTATAATGATATTAGTAATAAAAGAGTGATAAGTATAATGATTATAATGATTATAATAAAATAATTATTAATACTATAGTTCATTGATTATGCAGATGGCATCGATAAATGACTCCATAGCTTCTGCACCCCTGTGCATCCCCAACAGCTGGGAAAATCCAGGTGTTTCATTCCACATCCTCCAGCAGCATGGCTTTTTGGGCACAAAAAAGGTGCTGGGGATTCCTGGGGAAATCCAGGCTCCAGAGAGGGAAAAATGTTCTGGCACCAGCCAGAGGATTCCCATCGCACCCCAAGGCATTAACACAGCCCTGTGTGCCTCAGAGCTGCTCCCTGCTGCAAACCCGGGGGTGTTAACCCTGAAAGCTAATGAGGAGCACGTTAATTATGTTAATTGTGCTCTGGGGCTGCACTTCTGCTCTGCCATCCTTAAAACTCCTGTGGCAACAGGAGATCCCAGCTCCATCATCTCCCCTCCAGTGTATGGGGGAGAGGGAGATGGATCAGATCTGAAGGGTGCCCTCTCCCCCAAATCCCCTTTTTCTTGCAGAATTCCCCCAAATTCGCCGTCTCAGACGGGTGTGACCCCAAGAAAGGCTGGTGGGGCCGCATTTGGAGCTGCAGGCACGGGACGAACCCCCTGGCACAGCTCTGCCTTTGGCCACCTCGACGCTGCAAATCCTCTAATGCTTTAACCAGATCGAAAAAATTAAGCTGCTCGTGGTGCTCATACTCATCCAGGGGGGCCTGGGGCCCTCAGCCCCTCCTGCTGCTCTTTGGGCTCAAAACCTGGGTTTTGATCCAGCTGCCCTGAGCTAAACACCTGCCCGGGTGTTTTCCCCCCGCCCCAGCCCATCTGCTGGGATTTTTTTTTGCATATGGAAAAGCAGAATAGATTTAAATTTACCTTTAAAGTAGTCATGTTTTTCCCCCTATTAAATAAATATCTTACAATTTAGCATTCTAAAATACTTTAAATTTTCCCGTGACAAAAAATTTAAAAACAGCTTTCAATTTCCCTTTGAATTCATTCCCTATGGAAAAAAAAAATCACCTTTAAATCCCTGCAATCTTAACATTAATCCCTGCTGATATCAATCACCCTATCCTCATCTAAAATTTTATCCTTTCACCCCCAAATAAAAGCTGTTTCCTGGCTCTGGCACACCCTGAACCCCCAAAAAAGCAAATTCCCCCTGCAGCCCCCTCCCCAAGTCTCTAAACCATGAACTGCAGGGGAATTAAATCCCGGAGGCGGTTGGGGTTTGATGACCCCAGCTGATAGGATTAAGGCGCTGGAGTCATGTGAAACCCAGACCCAAATTAAATCCCAAAAGACCAAGCTTGGGATTTAAAATACACAGCGGGAATCTGGCCGGAAAAGGGACCCTTGAAAAAGCTTGGAAAAAGGTCAAGGAGCATCTCAGCACTGCAAGGCAGCCTTCCCTTTTTTAAAAATTATTTTTGGGGATTTTTTTTTTCTTTTCTTCCCTTAACTTTGACTATTTATAAACGGGCAGATAGGAGATGCCGGGCTGTGCAGCGTCCCTTGGGAAAATCCACAGCGCCATTTCTCACGACCCCGGGGGCAGGGGGGGGCCAGAAAGTGCCCTATCCTCCAGAGAGACCAAATTTGGGGAAAAAAAATTAAATAATGCAATAATCATATGTGACTTTGCTATAGATGGAAACGTGCTTCACCCCTGGTGTGGGAGGGAGAGGCGGAGATGGGATGGGACGGGATGGGATGGGATGGGGATGAGATTGGGAATAGGATCCCAATCTCATCAAGGGATTGGGGATGGGATTGGATAGGGACTGGGAAGAAAACAAGGATGACAAACATCCCTCATTTTGCTTTTCCCCATCACGATCTCATGAGGATCCCACGGGACGAGGAAGGATTGCTTGAAAGCAAAACTAAAGGAAAAACACACATTTGGGGTTCAAAAGGGTCGTTTTGCTGCATTTTTGAGCTATCAGTGCCCATGATGTCACATCCCAGGGCTCAAGTGTGATTTTTTTTTGGTGGGAATCCATCACGATTCCATGCAGAAAACGCCATCGGGATGCGGCAAAGGAGCGCCCTGGTGGAATTTAAGGGCTGAGAGATCCCCATGCCTCATACAAGCATGCTTTAATTAACTTTTATCAAGGAAGAAAACCTCCAAGGAGGAACAAATGGCGGCTCCAGGACCCCCACCCAGTGTTCTGTGGAAGGAAATGCTGCTGCCATTGTTTTTGGGGCCGTTTCCTTTCTCCAAAGGCCTCTCCTTCACTGGGAACGCCAAAGGATGTTTTCTTTTGGAGAAACCGTGGCAAGTTCCAAAAAGACTCAAATAGGGTGGGAAATTAGGGGTGGAAGAAGGGAAAAACCCACGGACAGAGAAGCGTTGAGATCCCTCACCTCAAAACCAGCTGGGATGGCAGTGCAGCACCAGTAAACGAGGGAAAACAAGTGGATTTTTGCTGCTCAGTGCCACGCAGGGAGGTGAACTGTGGACTCTCACTTTGGAGTCCCTGGCGTGTCCCCATATGGGGGTACATCGGGTTTGGGGGTGTTGGAAGCGACTGTTTGGCAGCTCCAAGGTACAAATGGCTTTTCCCAGAAAGACTCAGATTTTCTCCGCTCCGGGCACTCCTAAAAGGGGAGGGGGGTGGATCTCTCCCCTCTTTCCCCCCCGCCTGCCTGCTGGGGTAGGGGACTGGGGGCACAGAGACAGGTGGGGGCTGTGACCCCCGCCCCTGGTACCCCATGGTCCATGGATTTAGGGTGGTCCTTCCCGGTGCCACCCTAAGGTTTCCCTGCGGTGTCGGGATCCCGGGTGCCTCCGGCTGCTCCCACACCGTGCCCGGTGCCCCCTCGGTATCTCCGGGTCCTGCCCGATGCTTTCCCAAAAACTCCCGCT